CTTTCTGACATATAAAAGAATCGATTATAATATATTATTAACATTTATATATATTTAAATAAATCAAATAGATATGCAAGTATAATATTTTTAATTCATATACAAAAATAAATATTCTATAACAAAATAGATCTGCACTGTGGTTACATCAATAATTTGGACACTCTTGAAAATATAGGATCCAATTTTATGGAAGATCAACGATTGTCAGCCGGTTGTACCGTCTTCTAATTCACTCCTATCATCCCAATCATCCGAACTCTCTGTATACACGGATGGCTCGTAATCGGACTCATCAACAGACTCCTCTGCGGACGACGCTTCTGTTTCAGACGTATCGACAACGACCAAGTGCATAGGGGTAGCGGCTCTTCGACGACGACGCGGTGCGAATGTGTGTTTAAACTGCGCCTTGTGCTGCGGATTCTTACGATAGCACTTCACGCCGTACGGACACTCCTCCCGATTGTCAACTTCATCGTAATCCAAATCATCTGGATGACTATAATTGTTCTTGTGATTGGGATTCTTCCTGCAAATTTAAAAATATTTTAAGTTTTTTAAACCTACATCATACTTTGACAGAATTATTTTAGGTCTGTTCTTTTTCAAAGAATGTTCTGAATTGTATATACTGGTGTAGTTGGAGTGAAACAAATATAAATTGTTTTCCTTTTTTGTGACAACCGACGCAAATGTCGTTCTATCTTTTGTTGAATATCAAGAAGACTGGAATGATGTTCGTGACTGTGTCTTCTAAAAGGAAAGCAGTCGTGGTTCGTTTCACTTCAATTTATTGTACAGAACATTCTTTGAGAGAGACTAGATCTATTGATAAGAAATTGAACCATACTGTATCACTTACCGATAACATTGAGCACCATATCTACATTTTTCTCTGGATACTCTATTAAAATTGGACGTACTCGCTTGATCTTGAGGCATAGCAACGGACTGAGAATTGTTCGACGGAACTTCTTCGATCTGATCACTGACGTGTATGTCCCATTTGACCTTTTTGCATGATTCACCATTTGTCGCGGCTTTATTTGTTAAATTAATATTCCTTATTTTCCGCTTCCTGTTATTCTCCTGGTCAACAGGAGGTTCAATTACATCCTGAGAGTCTATTGACATCTTGGAACTTGTCGCAGTCATATCATTTCCCTCTGGCACACTGAAAGAAGCATGAAGAAAGACACGGGATGAACAATTGTACTTTTATCGTCAGATATTTCTGCTCAAGTAATAATTGGAGCAAAACCTTGTAGAATCGATCTGCAAAACTGGAGCAGCTTCGTCTCTATGTTCTCCATTTCCATTAACCGGACAATCCTTATCCTCATTTGATAGATCCTTATCTTGGAGAACATCATTCAAAGTTTTGCCAGGAGATACAGCAGCTTCCATGCTTGACAATAAGCAGGCCTTTTTACTGTCCACTTCATTATTTAAATCTACCTCATCGATCTGAAATGAAAAAACTGTAATAAGAAAATTCTTCGCGCAAAATTGTCTTCAGATCAATCAATCAAGAAAGCAAGAACTGTTATACCTTTCTCTTCAACATCTGATCACCTTCCTGCATCGTATCTGTCGAGATGATCTTGAACCAACATTTATCAGGCAGCAGAGAGCAAACGTCACCTGGCTTTATCGGCACGCTGTTTCCCAATTTAAGAGATCGCCATCGTGCACATCCAGCAGGTTTCATGTAACATGGTGCCACCTAATACTGGAAAATGATTTCTATAGAAAACTGATGTTGTCAACTACAACACATTAAAAAATAAATAACCCAATAAAACAGTAAAGCCTTTCACAATGAGACTATCTAAAGATTAAAGATTATCAAGCAATTCCTAACCCAATAAATAGTTACAATATCAACTAAAAGTGATATAACATTAATGTTATAATTTTTCAACAATATAAATATGACACATGTTTCACACAACAGTTGAGTATGAAATTATAACATTGATGTTATGTTACTTTTAGATGATATTTAATGGACAATTAATTTCTTTAATTTCTAACTAACTATATGTTGTAAAAACAAGCCTATCTAATATCAATGTTTTAATTTCACACTCAACAATATAAATATAATGCAACATATGTGGTGTATAAATAGTAATAAAGTTAAAATAGTTATACTTTAGTATTAAAGTATAACATTGTTATTTATTAATTGGTGTTTACTGGGAAGCTATTATTAAAAATAAATATAAGCTTAAACATTACATAATTTCCTTCTACAAAAAGCTATTATTAATTTCCTATCGTTATGTGTTGTTAACTGAATTACCACAGAAATTACTGGAGTTTAGTGTTATCAGAATACTAATATATGCCAAATGATAAGGAATACCCGAAACAGGAAACTTTACCGGCGTAATCGTCATTTCATCGTTGGGCGATAAATTGATGGTCACGGCATGTTTGAGCACCTGGCCGTCGTTGCACTGCGATAATGGTGAAGATCGTTAAGTTTCGCCGGCAAGAAAAAAATCAATCCTTTAATTAATTAACACGTCATCGATGAAGCAATCATCAATGAAAGAATCATCAACACGCCGTCATTCATGTTTTTAGTGACTTAGAATTATTTCGAATCATGTTTTCACGTTTCGACTTGTAGCAATTTTATTTACGTTATCCGTATAACATAATTTAATTGATAAGAACGTTCGGAAGAACGCGAGTGTACATTCATATGCTGCAAAACAAACTGCAGATCACTGCAGCTGATCTCAACGTGTAAATTCAAAATGCTTCAAAATTCATTGCGCCGCCCGACTGTCGATTGTCGAACGAATCGTCGATGAAATGCAGCATCACGAAAAATCGTAGGTAAATTTTTGGAGATAATTGAAGAATGCCGACATTATCAACCACAATAATAATTATTCTCGAAAATTACATCGATTATGTCTCTTCTTGATATATACATATATATATATATATTTTTTTTTTTAATAATAATTTTATAGTCATCCCTGCGTGCTTTACAAATTTGAAGTGCAATAATGTTAGTATTCTAAACAATAGGAAAATTCTTATGTCACTGCAGTTCTACATTATCATCTGTGCCTAAAATATCGCTTCGACAACTCATTCTTAGTCGCGCGCGATATCTCGGTTCTAAACGCGCGACGAATTTTTCAATACGATCTGATAAGCATTTTACAGTAGTGACGCAGTCAAATGCGCGTTATCGGCTATTATCGGTGCACGTGATACTGGTTCGTACAGACGGAGCCATAAACAGTCGTAAACGCTTTATTGTGCGTAAAATTGTGCGCGTGCCGGAGGTATTACGTATTCGAAGCGCGTGCTTCCTATTTAAAGTCGAAATATTTCATGTATAATTAATTAATTCTATATTAAACATATTATTAAATTCTGATATTATTATTGTTATATTATCATTATTATACATATAATTATATAATTATATTTTACCCTGGCGAAAATAAAAATCAGTATAGTAAGTCTAATATAAAAGAAGTGTAAACGCTTTTTTTGTGTTATCTTAATTTTTGAATAAAGCTTCTGTGTTTTAGAAGCTTCTCCTAGAATTTAGAAGCTTAATTCATTTACGCTTCTGTTAATCCCTTCTTACATTTTTTCTTTATAAAAATTTAATATTAGTGTAACCAATTACCTACAATTACAATAACTTATTTTGAATATTGAAAATACTGTGAACTATACTGTTCACAGTATTTTTAATACTCTAAATAAGTGAACAAAACTTTTAATAGTTCAAAAACGCAGAAAAAATATTAAATTATATTGTGCTCATTATTAATAATAATAATGTATATAATGTTGTGATCTTAAATAAAAGTAAATAAATATCAATAATTGTGATCAAATATTGTAATCTTACTTCGAAAATTTTAATCTTGATTTGATTGAATTTATATTGATGTATAATTTTATTTTTTTTTTTTAGTCTCAATTCAAGACTAAAAATCCTGCATTACTATAAATTAATCAAATCAAGATTAAAAGATTTGAAGTAAGATTGCAATATTGTTGATACATAAGCATAATACTCGATTTAAGATTAATTTTTTACTTTTAATACTGAAAACAATTAATTAATTGGCTAGTATTAAATTTCTGTAGGAGAGGGGAGATATTAACAGAAGCGTAAACAAACTTCTTAGAAAAATTGAGATAATAAAGAGTAGTAAGAGTGTTTACTACTCAATGTTTTTGTTCACTGAACTTTTAATATTTAAAATAGATAATTATAATTAGTGATTAATCAGTACTAATAATAAATTTCTATAAAGATTGGCTTAAGCTCCCATTTTTATTTTCGCCAGAGCGATATGTAGCAACTTAGCATGATGAGATGTATTTATGTCTCCGTGTGTACATTTTCCGCTAACGTCGATGCGATAAACTTCGAATCTCCCAAGCGTAGCCATGAATCATCCGACAAAATGATCACATGGATAATCTTGACGCGTCAGCTTATCCGTTCGCATACGTCAACGCCAATCCGAGATCAGAAATGCGAGAATAATATTTAATGTCTGTTTATCTCAACTTGATATAGATAGACATTAAAAGATCTATCTCTATTGATAGCTAGAATTGAAAGACGAATTCAAAAGGAGGATTAAATAGCTAGAATTTCATAAGAATTTCAGTTATTTCCGATTGCAGAATTTAATTTCATAAAAGGAATTTTCCTTTTGTTCGGGACGATATTTCTTATGACGTCTTGGTAGAATATCTTTACAAAAAATCAGTTATGCAACTCACTCCTGTCGCGGCGCCGCGACCGATGATATTGTTGCCGATCAGCAAATTCGCTCTCTGCACTAAATCATTGTCTACTCGTACTATTTGTAGCTTTTTCGTCATGATGAATTTGTCATTAGATAGGTTAACGTATCGCGGGACATATTTCGAGACTGTCACCAAAAAATTTCTGTCATTTCAACAAAAAAAAAATCGCTTAGGAATTCAGGCTAACTTCATACGTAGTTGATTGCGATAATTCTCTCATCTAAAGTTATTCACATTTTTTTTAATACAAAGAACATATTTTGAGAGACTTATATATTCTAATTTTGAATTCTACGAGTTTTTTTCATAGTAAATTTCATAGTAAAGACAACGAAATGTTGTCTGTTTTCTCTTTTCCACTGCATTAAATCCTTACAGGAATTTAATATTGTAAATATTATATTTCTTAGACCGGTAGTCAGTTTTCAAGATCATCTTAAGTAATGTCTTAAGACGCTAATGCGGCTCTCTAATTGGTTTGTGACACCTCAAGATAGAACTTAAGATAGTTTTGAATATAAGAACTGACTATGAATACTGGCCTTAGTCACTAAGCAATATTTACAATATTAATATTTACAATATTAAATTTCTATAAGGATTTAATGCAGTGTAATTAATCACTAATCCTTAGTGATTAATTACTTATTTTGAATATTAAAAACACTATTGTTTATGAAAATAAGTAATTAATCACTAATCAATTTAACCAAATTAATTAAATCTTTGTTCAAAAAGTTCAATAAAAATTCAGAATTAGCAGTGCGACACTGTACAAAATATTTTATTTTTTATCTCGTTCATTTTGAGCTTATTCAAATCCTTTTAAAGAAAAATACTGTGAGAATTAATAACCTGATCAGTATTTGCTCCAAAATTTTTTTAATCGGTACTCGAGGATCGAGTGGACATTTCCTTCAACCATGTTGTAAAAAATTATTTATAACAATTTTTTTCATAACTTCACATAATTTTAAGTTACATATTTAACCTTATTCTCCGAATTTTTGGTCTTTAAAATAAAAAAATTTGTTCGGTTACGTTAACTTTAAGCAAAGATACAGCAATTTAAAATACATTGGACTCGCAAATATTGATATCAACTAAGGAAATTTTGAATATCGGTCAGGATTAATATTTACAGTATTTTTTTCTAAGGAGATTTTAACAATAAACTCAAAATCAATGAGATAAAAATAGAATATTTTGTACAGTCGTATTGCTAATTCTAAATATCATTTCAGCAAGCTTTGAACAAAGATTCATTTAATGTGCAAGATAAAGTATTTTAGAGGAAGAGGAAAAACAATTGAAGGCAGAGTAAGAAGTTATTCAAGTGTTTAACAATGAAATGTCTTTTTTTCATTTACAATTACAAAGAATGTACACGCTTATAAACAAACAAAGAGAAATGCGCCGAGAAGTTACAGTACAGATCTGACGCGATGCCATAAAGCTCTTTGCGTGGAAAGGTCTCATAAAAAATTACCGGAGAGATGCTAGACTCAATTACTCGTCGGTGCGTTGAGGATGTTACATCAGCTGGACCAGTCGCTGCTATCATACATTTGTATATCCGAATTAAGCACGCTCTCTCACGCAATCGCGATCGCGATTTTCTTTTTACATCCCTTCATCGTGTCCTTCCCCGCGGAAATTGCGGACAATAAACGCGCAATTGCGTCAACCGGCTGTGCATGTAAATGTCGTTACGTTTGTACATAATTCGATAATCTTGAGAGATGTGGGAACAACCGAGAAAATCATCCCGCAGGCGTGAAAGTGGAAGGAAGTGTTGTGTGGTAAAATATGGAACATCTGTCCTCCTATTTCCAAGCCGCGAAATAACACTGGTTGATCCGAGCCCAAAGGAAATTAAACACGGGCATTCTTTCATCACCCAAAAATACCTCTGACAAAAGATTTAGAAAATACTATCGCTTTCAACGCGCTATCCAGAATTATCTTTTTGCTCTGAAAGCACCATTTCTTTTAATAAAAATAAGTTTCAATACACGAATAAAAATTCTTTTTGCGATATAATATTTTAATACCTTTATAGAAATTTAATATTAAAAGATAGATCAACTATTTATTTTGAACTATTTATTAAAAGTATTAAAAGAATTATTGTTATCGATGCTTTTAATACTGAAAATAAATAATTATTACCTTTCAATATTAAAAAATTGGTCAGTATTAGTTGGATTTCTGTAAGAATAAAATATATCGTTTTAGCATGTGAAGAAATAATATACGTGTATTACAAAGTTCTTCGAAATTATATATAATATATTATAATTGTTTTGGGTACGGTTTACTGCTTTAAGTAATAAACATATCTCCTGTCAGTGACACTTTGGGTGGCGAAGTAGTTATTAAAATCGTTCGTGAGTGTCACCTGTGACTTATTACAGAATGGCGTGACTCATTATTAATATGATTTACGATATCGCGATTATTTGTATTATTCTCGATACGTCTTGGACGAGGAGAAAGTTTTTCTTTTAAATGGTGAGAACGTCGATGGCGAGTCCAGGAGAAACCCGATGTCGTCGAAACAGTTTCATCAATCGCGTCTGAAATCAATTAAACACAGATATTTTCTCTATTAAGAACGCCGCAGACTCCCGAATAAGAATTCGACCATACCCGTGCCCGGAAGATACGAAATCGCGAGCCCTGCAGTCGCTTTGAACACACATTGTCAAGATCTCTCTCTTCACGCACGCGTCCATCATGCAGAATCCAAAAACCTATTCAGCCTCGTTGGAAGGCGAGCTTTTTGTCCGTCCTAAGCAAAGACCGAAAACGCATTCCCCACCATCCATCGTCGATCGCGGAATCTCGCCGTTTAGCTTATGAAATAGGAACTTTATAGATCGCG